TTACAGCTACCTGAATATGCTTGTGCTACTACATGAAGAAAAACTGATACATGTAGCAGCACAGTTAGAGAGTGGGACCAAATTATTTCTTAGTAATAAATGATGTAGTTTAACTGTAAATAAATAATCATGCATTTACAACATAGTACAGCTTTAATGACCTACAAAGAAAAGTATTATTGAAATAAGTCTCGAAGCACATTTCTGCAATGAATGTAAACACAGTAAAACTGTACTTGGTGTTTACATACCACAGAGAGATTAGGCTTGTTACTTGCTGAAACAGCCAGCGCAGATGTACTGAAAGAGAGGAACAATGCAAGCTTTTTCAATTAAATTGGTATTGGGAAATATTTATAGAACTACCTCTATCTGATAGAATACCAGCGGATAAAACTCACCACCATAGCACACCAAAATGCAATTCCATTGATGAGACTCAACTCACGATAGTCAAAGGTTACACAATACCAAGCAAGAGTGTCAACAAACCGATTATTATTTGATCTGTGAGGGAAAAAAAAGATAGATGTTTCATTGATATCAGTACTGGGTACTATTGGAACTTATGCAAATACATTTTCAGCAGAGCTCAAATGAGTCAGTCTTAATAAACTTAATAAAAAGAGGTAACAGACACAAAGAGAAAGCAAATGCCCTAAAATCAAACCCACTGTGACTCCACAGGAAATTTCACAATGGAACCAGGAACTTATCTATTCGTTCAAAGTAACATAAACCATCCACTGACATAGTTATGCTTCCGTAACTTATGATTTTTTGTTGGTTTGTGTATAAAACGACAGTTATAATTCAATTGTATATGACCATCTTCAAAGTCTCATCCCTTAGAATTAAACAAGCTGCTCTTGTCACTGTGTCTTTATGAATTAAATAGGTAAATGAGCTGTGTTCAAAATGACCACCCTGAATTGTGCCCCAATCAAAAAGCACTCCAGACTGAAACACTTCTTATGACAATTATGTGAGTGGGTGGGGCTCAAGCGTTATACACCGAATAGACAGACATACAGTGCTGAAAAAAGTGTTTACCCCTCCAGATATCTTCAGATAATTTCATTTAAATTTGGAAAATGTTTAATCAAGAACAACTAGCTCTGTGGGAAAACATCCACAGCAGAATTAGAGTTTT